CCAGGCTTATGTTCAAGAGGCTACGGACAGCCTCGAGCCGCATGCGACTTTAGGGAGGGGGAGGAGGAGGAGGAGGAGGACTAGGAGGACGAAAAGGAGGTTGAGGAGAAGGCGGGCGCAGGAGGATGTGGTGGCCTCCCCACCTCCTTCTCCCCCCTCCTCCTCCTCCTCCTCCTCCTCCTCCTCATCCTCCTCCTTCCCACTCCTTGTGCTCCTCCCTCCCTCCTCCCTCCCTCCTCCTCCTCCTCCTCCTCCTCCTTCCCACTCCTTGTACTCCTCCCTCCCTCCTCCCTCCCTCCTCCCTCCCTCCTCTCTCCTCCTGCATCCCTCCCTCCTTTCATTCCCCGCCCCCGCCGCCCTCTTCGCCGCCCTCGGCCCCGCCGCAGCCGTCGCCACCCTCGTCGCCGCTCCCTCGTCGCCGCTCCCTCGCCGCCCTCGTCGCCGCGCCCTCGTCGCCGTCCTCGCCGCCCCCCGCCCTCGTCGCCTTCGTCGCCTTCGTCGCCTTTGCCGCCCTCGCCGCCCTCGCCCTCGCCCTCCTCGCCGCCGCTGCCGCCGCCGCCTCGTCGCCCTCGGCCCGGCGCTGCCGCCCCGTGGCGCCCGAGGCTCACCCGCGGCCGCGGGCCGCGCCCCCCCCGGCGGCCCGAGGGGGCCGCCTGCCCGTGGGGCGGCCCGCGGCCCGGCAGCGCCAGCGCCTCCGCCGCTGCCAGCTCTAGGACGCCCGGGCGGCGGCCCGCGGCGGCGGCGGCCCGCGGCGGCGTCGTCGTCGGCGTCGTCGGCGTCGTCGGCGTCGTCGACGTCGTCGTCGTCGTCGGCGTCGGCGGCGTCGGCGGCGTCGTTGTCGGCGGCGGCGGCGTCGGCGGCGGCGTCGGCGTCGGCGTCGGCGTCGGCGTCGTCGTCGTCGTCGTCGTCGTCGTCTGCCGGCGCCAGGCGTTGTGTCCGTCCTGGTTGGGGCGGAGGGATGGAGGGGGGGGGGACGATGAGGCTGTGTTCTCATTTCCCAGACAGTGCTTGCACTCCGGGGCTCTTACTTGTTTCCCTAAGGGGCTGGATGGGCCCTTCAAGGTGTCTGGTTTTGCCACGTTGCCGCCAGTCGGCGCCTTGTGGGCGCCCCAGTCGCTGGGCGGGTCCGCCGAGGGAGGGATGACTATGTGCCAGGCAAGGAGGATGCATCCCCGACGGCAGTGCGATCGAGGACGAAGGCGGCGGGCATCGAGGGCTTCGGGCATACATGCTTGATGGCACGCGAGGAGGGAGGGGATGGAGGGATGGACGGAGGGATGGAGGGACGTCCGACCCGCCGGGCAGGCTCCGCCTGCCCGACCCGCCCACTACCGCCCGCCCGCCCGGCCTGCCCAGCAGGGTCCGCCCGTCCGCGCGCTCGGAGGCCCTCCCGCCCGCTGGAATGCCCCGCCCGCTCGGCCCGCCTGCTGTCGGGGGCGGCAAGGAGGGGGGTAATGACTGGGGGGGGGTGGATATCATGGCGGGGGCCATGACAGTTCCCCAGATTTCATGGCGCCTCTTCTTACTTCATTACGTCCCTGGCCCCCCCGCTGGGCCGCGCACATGCCGCCGGTCATGATTTGCACCCCCCCCTCTTGGACACCCCCCTCGTTGCCGCTCCCGATGCTGGGGTCCGCCCTCCCGACCCGCTCGTTGGGGCTGGCCCGCCCAACCCGGCTTTCAGGGCCAGCTCGCCAAAATTGTGGCTCCCCTCTCCTCAGCTTCCTGCTGAATCTCCTTCGCCATCAGGCCTTCTCTCCCTCCCTGCCCCTTCCTTCCCCGTTTCTTCTCTTTCCTCGTTCTCTCTCCCTTTTCCTCTTCCCTCCTCCTGTGTTAGGGGCTACACCCACTGCACGTGGCAGGCAAGGAAGGTATACTCCCAAAGGGGTTGCAATCGAAGACGAAGAGGGTGGGTATCGAGGGCTTGGGGATACATGTTGCACGACACTCGGGCAACGAAGAGCGAGCAGTCTTAACATTTTCTGTCTGTGGAGATTTAATTCCGGAAGAATAATTATTGTTGATCCTCCCTCACCAGTGCCCATGGTGCTGTTCTCATTGAGATGCCCCGCCAGGGCTCGGGCCCTGTTTCTTATCAGGGAAAGTCTTTCTGCTCAAATTGCGCTGCTGGCTCGCAGACTACGACAACGGCGGCTCCCGCCTGATGCCTTCCCACCGTTTATTCACAACCGCGCTCTCGCATGGGACGTCCTCGCACTCCGCTGAGAAATCGCGCTCTCGCGAGGGCGTCCCCTGCGCTTTATGTAGGCGCCGCGCCCTCGACGCCCAGGAATCGCGCTCTCGCACGAGACATCGTCACAAGGTGCTCAGGTCTCGTGCCCTCGCATGTGACACAGTTTGCTTCACTGCCTTGCCCGCCCGACCCGCCCGTTGGAGCCCGCCCGACCGACCAGCCCGTCAGAGTCCACCCGCCCGACCCGCCCGGTGGGGTCTGCCCGTTCGCCGAGTCGAGGCCCGCGTGCCCGCTGCAGTGTCCTGGCCGATCCGCTCGCTGGGGGCTCGGGTCCGCCCGCCCGACCCGCCCGTCAGGGGCGGCCCGCCCCTCCCGCCCACTGTCACCCGCCCGCCCGACCTGCCCGTCAAGAGTCTGCCCGCGCGCATGCGTGGAGAGGCCACCCCTCTCTCCGCCGCCTGCCGGGGCGGGCCCGCCCGACCTGGCCGCCAGGGCTGGCTCGCCAACCTCGTGGCTCCTCTCTCCTCCCCGTTGCGCCGAACCTTCTTCGCCCTCAACCTTATGCTGTTTGCGTCGTATTCGAAGACCACATCCCCAACATAATTCCGAGCACCCAAACAGGTATCGAAACAGTGTCGAACGAGACTCGTCTCCCAGGGCACGACACGTGAAAACCCTCCAGTTTCGGTATTCTCTTGGCGCTTGAAATTCTTTCTGGGGGTCAAGTCTAGCGTAGGTTGGAACGTCATAGCCTCAGCCCTCCTCCCTCCCTCCTGCCCCCTCCTTCCTCGTTTCTTTCTCGTTCCTCGTTCTCTCCCGCTTCCTTTTCCCTCGTCATCCTATGTTAGAGGCCGCGTAGGTTAGAACGTCATATCCTCAACCCTCCTCCCTCCCTCCTGCCCGCCTCCTTCCTCGTTTCTTTCTCGTTCCTCGTTATCTCCCTTTTCCTTTTTCCCTTGTCGTCCTATGCCAGAGGCCGCGCCAACTGCACGTGGCAGGCAAGGCAGACATACCCCCCGAGGGGGTACGATCGAGCAGCGGTTGGCTCGCAAGCGACGAAGCGCGAGCAGTCTTACAGTGGTTGTTGATGATGAGGAGGGTGAGGCGAGGGCGAGGGAGAGGGAGATGGAGAGGGAGGAAGAGGAGGATCGAGGAGGAGGAAAAGGAGGAGGAGGAGGATCGTGGAGGAGGAAAAGGAGGAGGCGTAGGAGGAGGAGGAGGATGAGGCGTAGGAGAAGGAGGAGTAGTAGGAGGAGGAGGAAGAGGTGGACGAGGAGGCACGTGGGAAGGATGAGGACGATGTGAATGAGGACGACGATGGTGATGGTGCTGGTGGTGAAGAAAGTGTATGAGGCTAAGGAGTGGAGTGAGGTACAGGAACCGTTTGTTTACTTTGTGTGTGGGTGTATTTTCGTTTACGCAATCGTGCAACCACCGTTCGAAGAGATAGTTTTTGCGTGAAGTGATCCAGAGTGCTTGTGTCACGGGATACACATTGCAGTGCATATTCGGAGTTGCACGGGAAACCATGCGCACTATGGGAGTATGTCGGAATATGGCATGAGACGCGAAGTTGGTGTGAATTTGTATTGAGCAACAAATTGCGGGCTGTAGATCGGGGCCTCTTCCCTAGCATGATCGGGCTTGGAAGCCGTCTTAAGGTTGACTGTTCGCAAGCTGCACGGCCAGCAGACATCTAAATAACACGCATCAACTTGCAAGGGCTCCAGATTTCGCGTAAGACAACCGAGAATCTGGACTGGACCCTGGACGTTCTCTTGGAGGTTTGTTTGGGTCGTAGAGCTTTCGCATCTCTGGATCTGGACTACTGTCTAAGAAAACGCTTCGAGTGACGTCCACTTTCTTAGCCTAAATGTTTCTTAACTCTAAGCAGGGGCAGTCGGCAGACCTTTGGTGGGAGAAAGCCTGTCGCAGCTGACCTGTCACCGCGCCACCGTGGCGCCGCTGACGAGACGGCCCAGGGCGCTCAGGGTCTCCAGTCCACAGCACAACTGCCGAACAAAGCCCGGCGACTTTGCCAGCGCTCTATCCAGTATCAAGGGGGAAACGGGTCCTGAGGGACAGGTCTTGAGCTGCTTCGCTGTTTTCGGGCTCTCGGGGCCTTCCACGGGCCCCAGGATTGCCAGAAAGTAATTCAGGATGAAGAATTGGTCCTGGGGGAAGGACCCAGGGTCCTGGACCCGTTTCCTTAGGACCCGTTTCCCCCATGCTAGACTTCGTTGCAGATGCCGTCTTTTGCGCTGCCGTTGTCTCGTCTCGCCCTGCTCCGAGCGGAGTGCACCGCGCTGTCTGGAAGAGCGGGGGAAATGGAACAGGGGGAGAGGGGGGGGTTGGAGCAGGGAGATGAGGAAGGCGGGGAAGGGACTGCAAAAGAAGGCGAACTAGCAGGAGGCAGCATTGCGGGGTCAGGGCAAACGGGGATCAAAGGGGATTGAAGGGAGCGGAGTGTCCGCGAGGGGCGGACTGGGATGCGTAAGGGAGAGTTTGCGTACGAGGTTTTTGACAATGCCCGTGCAGGCGAAGTACTCTCTCCCCCTTTCCCTTCCCCTTCTCCGTCCCATTCCCTTTCTTCTCCCCCCATCCCCCTCTCCTCCTCTTCCCCTTCCCTTTCCCCTTTTCGATCATCGATTTCTCCTTCCCCCTCTCTTCATGCTGCTTTCTCCGCCCTCCATTTCCCGCTCTCCCTCTCATCGCTTGTCTTGCTCCCGAACGCCTTTTGTGTCTGCGACGCCTCAGCTCCCGCCCCGGCCAGGACCACTTGTAAGGTTGCTGCTGAACGGCAGATGACCATGAGATCCTCTTTGCGACCAGAAGTCCAACCCTCGTCCTCCTCGTGCATCTCCTCCTCCTCCGTTCTCCCTGCTTCTGTTCCTGATCCTCCTTCCTCTTCCTCTTCAGCCTCTTCGTCCTCGTCGTCGTCCTCGTCGTCCTCCTCCATCGTCGTCGTCCTCGTCGTCGTCCTCGTCCTCGTCGTCCTCTTCGTCCTCGTCGTCTCTGTAATTCACCCCCCTGTCGCACCACCAGACGTGTCCGAGGTCGGGCCCGGCGTTTCGCTTGAACCCTGTTAGTAATCGGCTGCCCTGAAGCTCAGCGTTACCAATATGTCGAGGCGCCAACATCGCAGAGCGGATCTCGTTCGGAAAACAATGGGATGGGCCCGGACTGTCCTGGGGAATGTCGTGTCGGATTTCGGAATGAATTTCGTGCGGATATGTTTTGTTGGGCCAGGAATGAAGACTACAAATGATCCACGTGAAATTCACCTCGTTTTTCGCTCGCCGTTTCGGGGTTCTGCACTGATGGAAATCCGCGTGAAAATCCGCTGCAGCACGCCTGCAAGGTCGGCGCAACGAAAGATGGAGGGCCGGCGATCTCGCCTCTGCGCCGCGCGCCTTCGTCTTTACAGCTTGCAGCGCTTTGGGGATGGTTTCGAAAGGAGGCTCTCGCCTTAGCGTCGCGCGCGTGCGTCTGAAATGTTTGCAGCAGGTATGCGGATGGAGGACGGCTCCTGTACCAATGTGGGCTTTCGCTTGAGACCTCCTCAGCAATTCAGGAAGGGAAACACACAGAGACACAGAGAGTCGTCGATATCCAGGGAAAAGATGGAACCCGTGGGAGATATGGGAGGGGAAGACGACCATCCAGGAGGTATGGGAGACCTGGGGAGCCCTGGGAGTCGTGCCTATCTGTCTGTGTGTCCCTGGGCCGGAGGAGGAGGAGGAGGAGGAGGAGGAGGAGGAGGAGGAGGAGGAGGAGGAGGAGCAGAGGAGGGAGGGAGGAGGAGGAGAGGGGATCGAGGAGAGGAGGAACAAAAGGAGGAGGAGGAGGACCCCTTTCAAAACTCCAAGGCCAGGAGCCTTGAGCATCGCGTGGCCGCTCGGCACGGGTGGAGGGCGGCCTTTTCTCTCCAAACCGGGGGCTCCTTCTCTTGCGACTTCCTCGACCTCGATGGCGCCAGAAGCGCAACACGATGCAGCAATTACGCGGGTGGCCTCCTCCTCCTCCTCCTCCTCCTCCTCCTCCATCTCCTCCTCTTTCTCCTCTTCCTCCTCCTCCTCCTCCTCCTTGTCCTCCTCCTGTTCCTCCTCCCCTCCTCTCTCCCTCCCCCTCCCCCTCTCCCTCTCCCTCTCCCTCTCCCTCTCCTCACCCTCCTCCTCATCAGCAATCACTGTAAGACTGCTCGCTCTTCGTTGCTCCCGATCCAGTCGCTGTTCGACGGGGTTGTCCTCCTCCTCCTCCTCCTCCTCCTCCTCTTCCTCCTCCTCCCTCCTCCTCCTCCCTCCTCCTCCTCCTCCCTCCTCCTCCTCCTCCTCCTCTGGACGGTCCCCTCTCAGCACGGGGCCTTCGCTGGACATTCCGTCCTGCCGCGGCTGCACGGGCGGGGGACGGCTCCCTCCTCAAACGCGGGGCTCTCGTGGGGCACCTCGTCCTCGTCCTCGTCCTCGTCCTCCTCCTCCTCGTCCTCGTCCTCGTCCTCGTCCTCGTCCTCCTCCTCCTCCTGCCCCTCCTCCTCCTCCTCCTCCTCCTCCTCCTCCTCCTCCTCCTCCTCCCTCGGAGGGCCTGAGGCGCCGCTCCTTCTTCGGAGCGGGGCTGTCGCCAGGACGGCATGCCCAAGGGATGCGAGTCTTTGGAGGGGAAGCTTCCTAGACAAGGGGGAAGGGAATGACGAGGAGGTGTTGCGGACCGGATGGTGTTTTGCATTGCAGCGTCGTTGATGCATCCAGGGTTTACTCTGGTCCTTCTTATTATCCGTCTTCTCCATCCTACTCCTCGCTCGCTCGTCAACCACAGGGGTGGACGGGGGGAGGGAAGTAGAGGGCGGGGGTAGGGATTAGAGGATAAACGAGTCGGGAAGGAGTGGTGGGGAGGAAGAGGAGGAGGTGGAGGAGCAGGAGCAGGAGGAGGAGGAGGAGGAGGAGGAGGAGGAGGAGAAGGAGAAGGAGGAGGAGGAAGATGATGAGGAGGAGGAGGAGGAGAAGGAGTTGGAGGAGACGAATGAGTACTAAATGAAAAAAGGAGGGGGAACGGCGTTTGGCCGAATGCAGTTGCATAGACTTCAGGTGGTCGCATACCCGTTACCGAATCAACCCTTGGCGCTGCCTTGGACAGCCACACCATTTTTCTCGGGCGTACCGAGCACACTTCATCACGAAGAGGATAACCGAGCCCGCCTGGCATCGCATGCAAAGGGCAAGACGAGGTTTCTCACGGCTTCTTCTCAGGCTCGCCCGTGCTTGCCACTTGATCGACGGGCCTCGCGCCAGACCCAGAGCAGCACCTGGAGACACGGCAAGCAGCTCGTCGGCAAAATGGGTGTTTCAGTGTGGAAAGCTGTTTCGGCCTTGGCATTGGTTCTGCTCCTGTGGCAAAGGATATCAGACACGACGCAGACACATGAGCCTCTCGTCCCACAGGCACTTGGCCGCGCACGACACAGCAGCACAGCAGTATGTCAGCAAAGTGCCCATCGCGTCTATGCTGCCGGCGGAGGCTCACCCAGAGTGGGGCAAGTGGAAGCCTCTTCACGATGGCGACCAGTTGGCTCCCTACAAAAGAAGAGTCACAGAGAGGCAGCTCGCCCTCGCTAAGCTTGCAGTCGCAGCCAATGTAGCCAACAGGCCAGACACCTCAGAGCAGGAGGATATTGCCATGCCAGGGTATTGCATCTCGGTGCTCAAGCGTCTGGGGGATCAGCATGCGTATGCCAGGTATCGCAATAACAAGTTGGAACAGGTCCTCCGAGGCACCACCAACAAGCGCGAGGAACTGGAGATAATGAGATCGAGCTGGAAGAATTACTCCAGGATGCGCGTGCGACGGAGCAGGACCTAGAGCAGCAACACCTGGAGGATGAGTGGAAGCAGAACAGTGGAGGCCACCGCCATCTATCCCCACGGCCCACGGCCCATGGCGATGGCTACCACAGAGACGGGCTTCTCCGACGGCCCCCTTGTGCCTCCGCCACCTCCAGCTCCGCCAAGGCACACACCTGCCCAATAAGCGGCTCGCGATCCGCATGGTGGCCGCAGGGGGTGGGAGCCAGCAGCCAAGGGCAGCAAGCCGAAGGGCAAGGCCTTCAACGCGAAACTGGCCTAGTACGAGCAGGTCAGACCACGATAGCCACCTCCCTCCAGGTTATGATGTCTCGGCAAGACGTGAGGGACCAGAATTGTACCAACTTCCAGAACGGCATGGCCGCAATGATGATGGACAAGAGAGGTCTCGCGTCGTCTGTGGGGTTTAATTTCCAGGGCAAGGGTGTTAATGAACACGTACCTGGCCAGCCTCAGCAGCAGCCTCCGGCAGTTGGCCCATCCTCACCGATTCAGGTTCCAAGTGCGCCGCCAGCTACGATCAGGCATTCCAGTCCAGGACCGACCAGGCCTCAGAAGCCAACTGCGTCCCAAGTGGCAGCAGTTCAGCTCAATGCGGCACATCCGACACCTGGTGGTCAAGAAACTATACATGCACCCAGCCAGATCGATGCTCAGCTCACCCATGCGCAGCACACTGCGGTGCCTGGGACGCCCACGCCTACACAGTTGTGGGGATCGCTGCTAGAGGAAAGATTCCTTCAACCTCTTCCAGCATGACCAACTACGTGCTACACAGCCTATAGCCACGGCGGCGTTCGAAGACGTCTTCCTCCCAGGCCCGAGCCAGACAGTCACGGGGGGCCCCAGTCTGGGCAACAACGCCAGCGGGCTTTCTCAGCAGATGAAGGAGGCCAGCATCAGGCTCAAGACTGGAGCGCGCCCGGCGGAAGGTGGTACGGGGGAGCCTCCACCGCACAAATCTAACATGCTCCCAAGCGAAGACAAGGAGGCTTAGGTGGCTCGGGGTACACGTCTGTGCGTGCGTCGCCTTCGCAGGGCTCAGCAACTTTGCGCGGGGGACTAGTTAAGAATTTTTCTGCTCAAGGTGTCGGGGATCCTGCAGAGGGGCATCGCGAGCGTGCGGCATCTCCGACAGTCGGGAAGTCTCGTGCTGCAGGGCATCAGGCGGTAGGTAGCAACCAGAGCACGCTCCGCACGCCGCGGCGGGCCTAGTTCGCCAGTGCGGACCACATGTCCGCTGCTACTCTAGACTCTCGGCTTCATCATCGCTTGTTTCTTGTCTCTCCTTGCTCTGTCGTTTTTTCCCGCCCCCTGCTTTCCAGCGCGCTAGCGCCGTGGAGAAATCCACGAGCGCCGAGGTCGAGAGAGCTGGGGGGTCATGGGCTAATTAATGCATCTCATAGTTACGGAAGCTCGCGGGGCATGGCCAGTTCTCGCAGAGCCGCCTGCTCAAGTCAGGGACGAAGTAGTGATTCGCACGCTGGGCGCTGCCGCGCGGGCTCTGAGGCTAAGGGGGCCGACCAAGACACTGCAGGACAGCGTGCTTTGCGTGCCCCTCCCAGCTCTGCGTCTTTGGGGCCCCAGCCTTCGGGCGGTCAGATCCCCCCCCCTCGGCCCGCGGCTGGTGACGGCGGGGGTGTCGCTGCGCGGGCGTCTGGCATCCAGCTCTCACGTCTCAGAGTGCAACGCCAGTTGTTTTCATGCGCTAACGCCACTCAGGGAGGTTTCGCAGCAGGCGCCCCTGCAGGTCTTGGAGACCTCCGCGAGCGAGCTGGAAGCCGCGGGCCTCCTCGAGCAGGGGGCCGGGCTCGACCTCGAAGCCTGTCCGAAGAGGGACTGCCCGTGGCGCGGCCTACGCCTCTTCGCCGACGGGTCGCTCTTCGCCCAAGGGTAGGCGAGGGGGGCGTTGGCGCTGGCTGCGGTTGGCGTGGGCGAGGGGGGCGGGTCT